AACAACAAACACAAAGGACGTATAACAATAAGCTAACAATGCCAATGACAACAACAACATCAGGAACAACGATTGGTTATGAGTATGGCACATCAAGCTCCGAAGTTTAATGCCCCACGCACCTTCCCAACCTCACACAACGTCATGATTATCATTATTACTGCTACTCACACTAAGGTTTACACTAATACTATTACCATTGCCAGAATTAATATTTGGAATACAAATAATTTTCATTATTATTACTACTGATACTACCACTACTAGTACCGGTACTAGCCGCCCCTTCCCCCCTCCTACCAACTGTGTTCCCTTAAATGTCAGGGGTGGGCTGTCAAGAGCCTAAGGGGAAGAGGGTCTTGGTGGAACGTGCCTCACCCACGCAAAAACATCAAAAATGCTGTCAATGCCAATAGGTGTTGCATGTGTGCTCTTCAAATCGACGTCACCATGCCCCCACCCACCTCCCTCCACTCCCCCTACCCCACCCTACCCCACCCCACCCTACCGTACCCCACCCTACCCCACCCTACCCCACCTCCTGGCATCCACAAAGTTTTCTGGCATTCCACATAGCCAGTACTTCCTCATGTATTACATGGTTTCAACACGCGCAATCTGAAAAACATAGTTGGTAGGGGAGGGGGTGCCTACTGCTACTAGGACGAGGACGATTACGACGATTACGACGATCGCGGCCGCGGCAAAGACGACGAGTACATGTAGTATCAGCTTGTAAAAAAATGTTCAGCACAAGAGCCATTTAAGCGTTCCGGAAGCAGCAACTGGAAGATTGCTTTTTCAAAAGCTCATTTGTGTTGAACATATGTGAATTAGCAGGCCCAGGCACGTAGTGTTCCATTTCTCAAGAGAGAGTCTTGCTGGATTTGTCATGACGAAAGGTAAGCATAGTCAGCTGCCCCGGCCTGCTGTGAAATCTAATGACTAGTGATGGCACATGCCCATAGATTTCCCGTTCTCCATCTATGGCAGTGTTTAAACGACACGTCCTTGTTTGACGGACACGCTTACAAACTCATGGCCGGCTGTCACCGCAACATGCAAAGGCCAAACCTGTGGCTGTTACCACAGCTGTGGACGGATCTTTTGACATGGTCCACATCCGTTTATCAGCAGAGCGCTCAAGCAGAGGGCGTCGGCAGCCCTGATGAGACATCCAAAGCTTTTGCCATCGAGGCGCGTGCCAGTCCAAGAAGGGCTCTGAACAGAACTGATCTCACACACATATGCTAGTCGCCTGAATTTTCCATCCAGTTGGCCTTAAGCTGCTCCATCTTTTCGAAACTTTTGGTTCTGAACTATGATCTGGCGTAATTGGCTGGACAGTGTGACCGCCAGCTTCCCGCCAGGTTCATGTTCAGAATGGTGCCGTGAGACTTCCGATTGCCTGGAGTGTTGAGCATTTTCGAGTGGTGGGCGACGTCCAGCTGATGATGAAGTCTGCTGGGCAGCGTTACAGTGTTGAGCGCCTGGAGCTGCCGAATGTACAAATCCTGCGTGCCACAGCTGACGCTCAGACTCCCCCACGATTGCTCTGTGAAGATGCTACTTTCTTTGCAAAGGTTGCCAACGAGAAGCAGTCTGCCTCGGGTGTACGGCTGAATGCATACTCTGCAGAAGTTCTGAGGTTGGGACATGTGGAGCTCAGGATAACACTCCAAGACATTCTTGAGCTTTCAGATATGTTAAATGCATTAGCAGCCATGGAGGCAGACACATCGGAGCCAGAAGAAGAGATCAGACTACGAGACCCGCTCTCCTTAGTGCAGCGTCAGAAGATCAGTATTGATGCATCAGTTGAGGTCGATGCTATCCAGCTGCAGTTGCTGGCACCGCGTCCAGTTATTGACTTTGCATTAGGGTGCCCCTTGACAACGGTTCACTTACAGTGGGCGCAGGGACAAATGCCTGCCGGGTCAATTTTATTGGAGAACCTGTGGCTGCGCATATCTGCGTTAAACGAGCGGCTGGCAGCCTGGGAGCCCATTCTGGGCACATCAACGTGGAATGTGAACTTCTCTAGTGCTGTTTATGGCAACCGGCCTGAAGCAAAGATGGAGCTTCACGCAGCCCCAAGCTCTCCAATACATGTTGCGGTAACCGTCCCAGCGATTCGTGCTTGCTCTCGACTGCTGCAGAGTTTCGATGACACAGCGCGTGCGGCAAGAGACTCAAAAGCAAGAAAACAAAGCGAAACATCTGTCAGAAGTGAGCCTGTGAAAGAGAAATTTGAGGACACGGTGTTTGGAATCAACTTGACCGGCTTGGATTGCTTGGTTTCGTCTGCTACTGTACGCGATCTGAGTTCCTTTCTAAGCTCTGACACGTCAAGTACCCACACACTGGCATTGCATTCTGAGCCACAGGGTTTGGATGTCCTCTGCTCCAAGGCAGATGGCAAACAGAGGTTACATCTGCAGCTTCCAGGCTTTCCTGGTGAGAGCTCTGCGAAGGTGAATGTGAGGGCTGGGGAGACGGCTCTGTGGCATACGACCTCCGCGGGATGCCTTGTGGTTCGAGTGCTGGTCACGTGCCCTCCGCAACTGCTTCTTGTTGTCTCCTCGCCATTCATGCTAGTGAATCGTACGCTTTTGGACATCAGTGTTCGTTTGCTTGGTTGCGACCATGGACCACACAATGCCGGTGACTTGTGGCCTCCTTTTTGCATTCCAACAGTTCTCTTTGAGCCCAACGGTCCAACTGTTCCCTTGGGGGAAGAGGCAGCTTCTTTTTGCAGGAAGGAGTCGGAGCCCAACTCTTTGTTTTTGCCGTCCAACTTCTGTTTGGCTTTGCCTCCCCACATGCTCATGACAGCTTCAGCAGCATTTCAACTGCGGCCTTCTCCAAGTTCGGTCGGTGGTGTGTCGTTTTCCTGGGGCGAGCAGATTCATCCAAAGCAGTTTGCACAGGGCCCTGCCCTTTACTCGCGATCGGTTTCCTCGGACTACAGCTTACCGGTCTATGGCCTCAGGTTGGCGGTAGACAGCCAGGCGCCTGGTGCCTCAACAGAGGGTTTGTGCCAAGTGGACATACGAGCTCCTTTCAGTCTTTGCAATGCCTGTCCAGTGGATTTGTGCTATGAGTTGCGGTGGCTATCGACAGAAGAGGGCTCGTGGGTCCCTCGGCATTTGCAGCGCGCAACCGATTCCTGCGATGCAAACCAGATTTTGCACGTTGATGACGGCTATGGTGGTATTTGGGACGTGCCTCCAAACGGGTTCGTGCTTGTTGCGCCCCTGCTTCCACGTCATAGGAGCTTCCGATGGTGGGCTGGCAGCCATAGAGAGCAGCAAGACTGCCCAAAGCAAACCAACATGCTAGAAGTGAAACGATCCGGCCAACGAGTGGAGTGGCACTTCTGCGAAGCGCCAAGGGGCACTGCAAAGAAGCATCCCTGCTCACAAGCCCTGCGGCTTTCACCGGGTGACGAGGTGCCCATCTATGAGCTGCCAGAACAATTCGGTGCGGCTCCCTCTGGCGGTGTTCTGCGACAGGCTCTTCGCCGCAACGACGCAGACTTGCCGCCGCTTCTTCTGGCTGTTGCGCTGCGTGACCGGAAGTCAGGGAAAGAATCGCAATGGTCCCTGGTCACACCCGTTCTGGTCGAAGGAGCTATGACCAGTGTCCCTTTGGACCTCGGCAAAGGCCTGTGGTTACGATGCGCCCGTCAAACAGGGCAATGTCAGACCACAGTTTTTGCAAGCTCTTGGTTCAATGATGCCACAGGTCTGGGCGCTGTTCTACTGAGAAGGAAGCAGCCAGCACCAGTCTTCAACAATTTGGCACTTATGGATGCCGAAGCCTGGGGGGATGTGGAGGATGATGAGGAGGATGCTTCTTCGTTTGACATCACAGTCTCAAGCAGCTCTGTGCCGGTTCGGCTCCCTTATGTCGGAGTTGGACAGTCTGCAAAGCTGAACGTGACGGCCTTACACGGTTGCATCCTGAAGAGCGAGTTGATGAGTTTGTCAAGCTCAAACGCGGTGAACTCATCTTGGGGCTCCACTTTGCTTACCCTTTTGCCCGCCATACTCGCCTTTAACGGTCTTGACTGTGATCTCGGCCTGAAGCAAGAGGATACTGGAGACATCACGTGGCTGGCACCAGATTCTCGAGCTTCGTTGTACTGGGCTGCAAACAATGCACCCCGGCGGATGCAGGTCGCCTTGCGAAGACATTCGAGCGACAGAAGTGCAGATCTGATTTGGTCCGCCTCCTTTGATGTCTCAGAACATGGCCTCGGAGCCTTTCCAATCGTTCTTTCAGACACAAAGCTTAAGGACAACCTCCTCTGCCTGCAGATCAGCCAGTGCTCTGGGCAGCTCATAACGATCACAGCTGTTGGTTCTCAAGCTTGCCATCAGTTAGTAAACCGGCATCCATGCCTGGTGATAGACATCTCTTACGACGGGATGGCAGATGCTGCAGACTGTACTTCTCATTTCGTAGCCTTGAATGGTACCAAAGTGGCATTCGGCTCCTCGGGGGCGCGCCGCTTTCAACTGAAACAATCCATAACGCTGATGATGGTTGACATCCAGAGCCAGAAGATGTCGTGCCTCACTTTGAGACTTGATTGCCCTGTGAACAGGATCCTGGAGCCTTCTGCTGAGATTCCAATTCCAATATGGGTGCGCTTGGAAATAGCTGAGCGAGTTGCCCACATCTCAATCTCCCCTGTCAGCGTTCTGGGAGGCCTCAGTGGCAGCAGCGAGACTACTCCCCTGTCCTGGACATTGGATGTAGATATTCGTATCCAGACTCTAGAGGTTGGAGTGATGAGCAGTCAGTCTTTGCATTCCGAGACTCTGCGATGCGACCTATCAAATTTGAGCCTGCAATGCAGCCAGAAGAATGGGACCCGTGTGTCGGTTGTCGAGCTTGTCTCGTTACAGATTGACCACCATCCCCGATCTAAGCGAAAGGGTTCTAAGGCCTCTGTGGTCCTGGCATCCTTGGACCAGGGGCAGCCCTGGCGCATGCGTATTGAACGGGATCAGCTCAATGGAAGTGATGTCACCATGCGCTCGGTGTGTCTTGAATTCTTCCCTGCACAACACACAGAGGAAGTTGTGTTGGAATGCTCAGTGTCGGAGGAGCTTTGGACAGAGCTTCGAGATCTTGTTCGGGAGGCGACTCCCCCACAGCTTGAAGGTTCGAGCCCTTTCGATGTCGCGCAACTAGCGGGCCAGCCATATCACGCGACATTGAAAGAGCATCCACAGCCTGCCAGGAAGTACATATTGCATGATGTGCAGTGTGGAGATTTCAAGATTGGTGTACCTCGGGCATTCTTGGTACTAGCTGCTACTTTCTGACTAGCTTTTTCAAGTTTGAATCTCCAGAAATCGCGTATACGGCGTGAAATTTAGCTACAGAGGTTTTAACACAGTCCAGCCTCCGCATCTGTCCTAGGTGTGGTGCAAGCTCAGCAGTGCATCCTTGCCCAGCTTCTATGGTGCAATGCTGAAAGTGAGCAGCTTTTCGCACACACTTGAGATCGGGGGCGCTCGGATCAAGCTTCCCAGACAACGCTTCTTTAGCAGCGCGCGCCCTTTTGAGGGCTCGCTTGAGGCACTTGCAAACATTTTGCTCGAGAAGTACAAGCCTTTCATCTCGAAGTCCTGGCGTTCCATACTCAACAACTCGAACGTGGTCTTGGGAGGCTTCTTCAGTCGCTATACCTGGGCCCCGCGACAGCGTACTGTTGAATTGCCGAAGCCCTCCTCCATGCTGTATCTCCAGAATGGCGCCGTCAAGTTGCGAGAGGAAGCTGCGAGATCTATGAAAGTGGAAACAGGCCCGTACCGTCTGGATGAGAGCGGCTTTGAATCTGCATTGCGGAGCCGCAGCAAGAAGCAGGTGGAGCTCTTTGTAAGGCGCGTGTTGTCGTTCCTGCAACAAGTGGTTGTAATGCTCTGGCGTTCACAGAATTGTGTTGGTTGCGACGCATATCTTCTTGTTTGGTGGCTCACAACGCTGACCTTGGGTGAAATGGTCTTGGTGCAGGGTGTTGATGATTGTGTTTCAGGTTTTTGTGTCCTTCTTTTGACCATGGATATCGACAGCCATCAGGACCCCGAATTTTCCAATTAGTTTTTCTAGGGGCAACCTTACCGATTTGGAACAAGGATTACTGCATTTATTGAGGAGAGCTGCATAGAAACGTATCCCTCTATTCATGCATGCCCGGTGCAGGGAGCTGACGGAAATGCTGGGCGCACGAGTGCGTGACAGTCGCCGCCTAGCACAATATTGCGAGTCGTTACTAGGCCGGGTGCTTTACCCACTTGATGACAAGCACTGACTTGTGACCTCATGGCAGGTGCCAGAGAGACCAGCCTAGACCAGGTGGTGGAGTTCCTTACTGGTGAAGGTGCTCGAGATGGGTCATGTGAAGCAGCTGCGTTGTAAGGTTGTACTTTCAAGAGCCTTTAGACAACTCACCCGGCTTTTCAAAGTGCTGTACGTGACGGTGTAGATGGTTCACAAGCAAGAAGTGGCTTTGCTGTGACCAGATGAGGAATATCAGGAAAGTGTCTTTGTCCCGAATGCCTTACCGACTTATGTTGTTGATGAAGGCGAGGAGGAGGTGGTGGTGCTGCTGATAATGATGATGGTTGGATATTACGGAAGCTAGCGTGGGGAGTCCTTTGTTTCTTTTTGCAGCAGGAAGCAGGTTGGTGGGCTTCGGCAGATGGGATTTCAACAGCCGGCTAACCTCCTCGCCCTGCTGAAGCTCCCCCAAGGGCCTCTATTGGCATCAGCATCGCAAGCTCTGCCCTGGGGTCAGCTTGGCAACATGCCTCGGTCAACCCGCCTAAACCTGGGTCGTCACAGCGCAACCTTGCTAGCTTTCATTCACCCTCGACTTGCCCCCAAGTTTGTACATGGCACCGCTCGGACTTCCTGCAAATACTTTTCCAACAATCCAGGCGCCACGTGGTATGTCTCATGGTGCAAGGCATCAGCATTCATTGTATGGACCCTATATTCTAAATCCCGTGCCAGCCCAACACCCACCACTCCCGCCGCCGGCGTCCTGACCGAAGACACCGTCGCCACCCCCGCTGCCACCACCACCACCGCCGCCCCCACCTCCGCCTCACCGCCGCCTCACCGCCGCCCAACCGCCGCCCCACTGCTGCCACCACCACGCGCCCACCTCGACACCACACCCCACACTGGACCAGACTAGACCAGACCCAACCCGCAAGTGACATAGCTGTCTGACAGCACGGGCACAAACAGCAATAAGTTCATGAACAAATCCCAAATACTTCAGCCCGCTTTGCTTGCAACCTGAACCGCTGCAGGCCAGTCCACGGGAATCCTTGATGCCAATCCACGTGGGGTACCGTTTGTTTGAGCCCAATTCCTTGATCTTGTGTTGAACGATTATCTCATGCGCTTGTTGGCGACAAGAAACAAGTGTCGCTGCAAGACGTTAAGTCACGGCAATGCGAATGTCAAGTGCGCGTTGCGAACGAAATGGCTGCTTGCCAGTTCTGACAAAATTCTAAGGAGCTACCAGCAGGGCTAAGCAGCTTGTACATACATCTGCTGGAATTTGCGGACCGCAAAGAGATGTCCAGAAACCGCAAGATGCTGGAGCCATGACCTGGTTGATAAAAACACAACATTCCATCCCAAGGCTCTGCAACCTTGCGGAATTCTTCTTGGAAATTTCCAATCTTCTCGAGTGCGCCTCGTGAAAACAGCTCATAACGTCAAGTGTAATCCTGCATGCTGCATGCAGCACTGATTTTGCTGACATTGTGCTGGCTCAAGGATGATCAGCGTCAGTCGAGGCTACAAAGAATACCTGCTGACGTGATATGGGTGAATGGAACGAGAGACCTGGATGGGACGGCGGCTTCAATCCGGGCGGCTTCAATCCGGGGTACTTTGGAGGACGGAAGCGCCTCGTAAATTCCTGAATCTTGCAGCGCCACTGTAGCATCGTGTTCCGCTCCTCAGGCGATGATGTCGAAGTCATACAAGAGCCTGGTGCCGCTGGGAAGATGTCGGTCTCCCCTGAATGTTCTTGAATCCTGGTCACAGCTCAGAGCCTTTGCATGTCCCGACAGTCGGCTTTCTGCACGATGTGTCTGGGGATCCTGCTCTTTCCGGTGTCGCTGGCACTGCTCGGGTGCTTTAGCAGATCCGTTCAAGCCGTGATGTCTCCATGATGATTTCAGAAGGTGGAATGAGCAGCACTATGTCTGCACGCACAAGAGCATCCTTTACGCCAAGAAGATGGCCGAGGCTGCTTGTGCCTGAAGCTCTTTGCCTTTTTCCAAGCTCCTGTTAGTGGAGGTCATCAGCTGCAACGAGCAACAGAGCTTCTTCCCAGCTCCCGCCCAAGATTGTGGCATAGATTCCACATAGATGATAGAAGGGTATGCAAGCGGTTGTGACTCCATGCGTTGAGGAGATGGTGGTGTACATGGCTTGTCCTATCCACGAGGAGCATACCTCCGTGATGTCAAAGTTTTGTTTGGGGTCCCCTTCCGCTTGGCCCTCAGCAGCAATGAAGGGTGGTTTGGAGCCAGGGTTGCCTCAAATGTTCTCAAGTTTCCTTAATTTCAATGTATGGCAGGGTGGGTTTGATGTCCGAATAATGGAATTCTCCCAAAGGCGCGCGCCTGCAAGCTACCTGGCAGCTTGCCCTTCCATCTTGCGTATGCTCTTGCCGTGCGCTTGCTTCTTCAAATCTAGTGGCTTATGGCCTTGGACCACAATCTTTAGCATTGCATGTTGTGGACGAGAGCCATAAACACCAGTGGTGCAAGCAGGAATGGCTCTGAACCACAAGCAGCATCATGCAATGTTGCATCTCGTGGCTTCGGCCATTGTCATATGCTGGGACTGCTGTGACCTTCACCTTACACATCATGCTCACCAGTCAGACTGCGCTGAGCCCAGCCTCCATGCGCTCATCACGGAAATGGAAGCTGTGAGACCGATAAGCTGGGAAGTTGAGACCCGAATCCAGAGAAGTATCGGGTTTCCGAATCCGCGGCACAAAGCAAATTGTTGTGGCAGCTTGCAACAAGCCTGGAAGAAAGGACAAGAAACATGTTCCCGCCTCATGCCACTCAGAGCGAGCAAACTTCTAGCACATAGTACGCGCTTGTTCAAACCCTTTGCGGTCCTTGCTCGAATACTTGAACTTCAAATGTGGTAAGGCAAACAGGCACTATCTCAGGGCTGACCTGGGATGGCTCTGGGGTAGGGCCATCACCTCCGTCATGCAGGACAGTCTCAAGATCTACACACCAGCATCCTTCGGCTCCAGTGGACTGGCCCAGTCGCTTACCTTCAGGCCGGATGCTCTTGCGTGGATCTGACCACGCACAGAAAGCTGTCGTCCAGGTCAGCAGCAGGTGCCCAGGTGGCCGAGATGTACCAGTGCGCGGTGCTGGCGCATTGGGCACTTAGGAAAGCGCAATCGATGTGCTCGTGGGCTCGGGCTGGGCACTTGACAAAGCAGTTGATTACCTGTTCAGTGAAACCTCACAGCCAGGTGGAGTCTTCAACAGAAGAGGAACGTCACAAGCACGAAAAAGTGAGAGTGGCTGGCACAGCCTGGCATCTGACTTGCCTTCCGTATGTCATGCCGAGTCATGCATCAGGTTTATAGCTACAGAATGGAATGGCTTCGGCATCCTGTTGACTCGAGCTCGTTCTCAATGACGTGCTGCTGACAAGATTCAGAGCCTGGCATGGTCACAGATGAAGTTCCCTTCTATGCATATGGCGGCAAAGACACCTCCACGGTTACCGTGACAGGGGCCAGGCTCAACAAGCAAGACAGAATGGCTGTCCGGGATTCCAAGGCACAGGGTTCGGTCTGAAAGTGATGATGGTATGGTGCTTGCGTTGCGGAAAGCCGAAAGGCAATCCACCTTGGCCCCATGATGTGCTACCAACAAGGGAAACAGACGTGGCCAGCACCTTGGCGCGGCTGTGGTGAAGAGAAGTAATTAAGGCCACCTCAGAGTTACCCAGTCCACAAGCTGATAAGGCAGAATCAGTCCGAGCTGGTCCACTCACGATCAGCAAGAGCCTGCTCAAAGGATACATGAGCCCTTGATGTGATCATGGTGCGGCTGCTCTGCAAAGCTGCAAGGAGGCAGCAGCTCTTTCGCCGGGTCCGGTCCTTTACAAGCAGCTCCAGCAGACAATGACAATGAACGACTAATTCTTGCGAAACGTGAGGCTGACACCCGACTTGAATAGACCGGTACAGCTCCACAGCTTTGCCAATAATTTCCTGCCCATCCACATGTTGCCTGTGGGACCTCCTCGCCAGATGCTTACAACTTTCCCCGAACAGTTACGATACCATGTTGAGTTTTTGCAGACAGGTGGTGGATTTTCGTCTATCACGTCGAGGACTGCAGTCGGTGGCTGAAAATTGGCTAGGCCCTTTGCCAGCATGGATTCTTCGCTGAGGCCATCGACGCATCAGGCACGAAGATCGTGACCTGCAGCCAACCGAGGCCTCCACGGGTACTGCGTGCTGTGTCGTGCTGTGTCTGTTTATGCCCGAGCAGCCGTTGCCATAAATCCAGATGACATGCTTTTGCCAAACTTGCTGCAGGGTTGGCTGCATGCAGATCAAGTATTACAAAAATTGGGATGCGTCTGTCTCGCTCGTGAGCAAGGTTGAGGGAGGCGCAGGACATGGCAACATATCAGGCCCGTGCAAGGGGCACCTTGTACTGGTCAGGCTACACCGTGCCCATGAAAGTTCCAAAGAGCTGGGGTGCTGCTCCTGGTTTTCTGCACGTTCCTTGCGCCTGCCATTTGTGAACGAATCGAACGAGTGAATCATTCGTGTGCGGGATGAGGCTGCTCCCAAGCTGACTTTGATGCTTTGTCTGCGACTGAGACAATGGACACCAGTGTCGTGAGAAGCTTAGTTGGCTTACCAGAATGGCAGGAGTGCTGGGTCCATGGACCTTTCGACCTTCAGTGCGAAACTTGTAGATGCCAACTCGGCGCAGCCCCCGGAAATGTCGCCGGCATGACATGTGCACGGATCCCCCAATCTGATCGAAACATTGGTTCTTCCTGGCCCAGACAAACACATGGATTCTCCGTGTTGTCGGTTTGATCTTCACATGGCTTTCGGTGTGAAGCTGGCCTGTTCTCGACAAGATCTTCATGAACCCGGGGTAGCTGATTGGATGTCCATGCAAGAATTGCCAGGTATTGCTGTTTTCAGCCCATATCGGCTGCAGCAGATATTGTCGGTGATTGCTCAATCCTCAGACACTCTTACAACGGCTTTTGTGTAGGTGTAGTTGTGTTGGATGGTCAGACAGGTCTGGGATGCCTCCCTTGTGTTGGCGACTTTCTGGAAGATATGCTTGAAGGTGCGAAGTCCTGCAAGCATTCTTGAATTGACTGGACCATGAAACCATGCCTGGGTGTGGCCGGTCCCCCTCCTCCCCTCCAATCCGTCCATGCCCTGTGCCTGGTTGTTGAGAAATTCCCCCCTCCCGTGGTTGGGCTTGGGGATAGGAACATGCGGAAAGGATGCGGAAAGTTGAGAATTCCAACCCCCCTCCGTGGTGTGGCTGGAGGTTTGGGGCTAGGACCTAGGAACATCCGGAAAGGTATGGTGGCCATCTTCTATCCTCTGAGTTAGGATTAAACCATTGCGCCACCGCCTCTTGTCTTGTGGTATAAAGCAAGGTTAATACAGGGCTTACGGTGCTTGCAGAGGGTTTATAAACTATTACCCCAGCCCGCCGTGGTCCTGTGGCCTATGTTCTGGGTCTTGTCGTTTACAATAGGTTTATGGAGGGTTTATAGAGGCTAAATGGTGTTTGTAGAGGCTTTATTAACGGTTCCTAGACAGTTGCCACAAGCTTTACAGAAGGTTTACAGAGGGTTCATACTCTTGTGGAACGTTCCTCCAAGATGAGGATCGCAACCCCTCTTGAACTGTCAGTACTTTTGAGAGCGCGACAACAACTTGAGGTTTACAGCCGACAGCAGTTGAAAGGATCGGGATGAGGAGACTGTTGGTAAGTGCGACGAAAGTATGAGGGGCAAAAGGTACTGTCAGGTACAAGGAGGGCGGCGCGACCGCCGACACCGCCGAAGGATACCAGGGGAGCATAGCATTGGGGTGGGGAGGGCTGGCGAACTGAGAACGGGGATCATGCATAGGAGTTGCCTCGACAGGTATGGTTGACATGCTTCTCTGCATGGTATCCTGTGCCACTGGTTGCTCCTGTGGGCTGCTTGTGATCGGGATTGTGTGGCTTCTTATGAGACCTGTGTGTTGCTGGCTTGTTTGTCACGCTGACAGGCACAGTTGCCATTCCAAACGTGTGGTGATATGCCAGGATTGGCGGCGGTCTTCTACTTGTTTGTGTGGTGTTGGGGATCTGTGCCTGTGCCATTGCGCATCAGCACAAGGTGGGCAGATCCCTTCCTGTCTGCACTGGATTTGAGAGTCACATAACAGGCAAACAGGAGCCCAAAGTCAGTGGAAATGAAGTACATGGAAGACTCCGACTCGCCGTGATGGCATGTACACCTGTTTACATGACCTGGCCCTGTCCTGCAAGATTGCGGAGAACATGCAGATGCGAAAAGCGAGATGTGTCTGAGTAGATCGAGATGTACCATTTGCATGTTAGTCTGCAGCTCAGGAGGAGAAGTGGCCTGGCAATCCGCAGCCTGCTTTTGGTGAATGAATTTCTTGCTCAAGCTCCCAACGGTCATTGCTCTTGCTCCAATACGGAGCAAGCCCTTCAAGGGAAGCTTTGGGCACACTGGTGCCCTCTTCAGCCCTGGCAGTTCTTGGCAGCTGTCACTGTGCAGTACAGTAAGAGCTTCTGATTTTGGTTTTGGGTTGAAGAGAGTTCCCAGGGGCCTCGCTCCAGCCCTGTACTGGTAGTTTCTGATTCCTCTAATGCATGATGTGCCATCTGACAGGGAAGTTGGGGCAGACATCGAGTAAGGCTAGTTTAGGCTTCTGCATGCGCAGACTTTGCATGCAACTGCGGCAGGCGCATCATGGCAGAAGAAGGAGGACATTGTAGTTTCCAGGGCGCCTGTTTTTTGTGCATGGGCATTGCTTCTTTCTTTTTCTCGAGAAAGGGCTCATGTTGCCGACGTATGTCCGGTTGTGCCATCATGCTGTAAAGCTGTGGTTCTTGGGAAGGCAGTGCGCCGGTTGCAGGGGTCTTGCACATGTCTCGCTATTCACGCTGCACCCTGAGACCAATGCTAGGATATCTCTTGAAGACCAGAGAAGTGCGGTACAATCCAGCCCGCAGGAACTTGTGCTTTGAGTGATGTTGTGGAATGAGACCAGAACCTGGAAGGCTCCCAGTTTTTTTTGGAACATCAACAGGGCTCCGATTTGCTGGCTGGTCTCTTCATCTGCAAAGGGCACCTACTTGGTTGTGTCTAACTTTTTTCTGGCTGCGGGTGGTGGGAGAATCGTCTGTTCTTCAGCTCCGCGTCATGTTTCGCTCACTGGGCAGCCTTCCAAAAAACCTTGTTGTATGCTTTACTGGTGCCATGCCCATATCGTCTTAGTATCGATTGGGTGAGCAAGGAATCATGTGTGTCTTCTAGGAGCGAATGAAACCAGAGTGGGTGAGCTTTGCCATTGCTTTCGGGGTTTTGGGTTGTTTTTCGCAGGATTTTTCCGGTTCCTGTGCAAGGGATTTCTGGCACGTTGTACCACGTTTGGATTCCTTTCATTTTTGGCTAAACGTGTTGTTTAGAGTCGTTTGAAAAAACTTCATCATATTAATTTTAGATGGTTTCCGCGCGTCTGTGATTGAACATGCCTAGATGCATCTAGATGTGTCAGTTGCTGGTAGCTTCTCTCCACACGCTTGCACCGTTCAAGGCCTACATGACTCTACTGACTGCTAACTGTACTCTTCAGGAGAACCATCGCTCATGGCCAAGATGTCGGCGGGGCTTGCCTGTTTGTTCGAACCATGTAAGCCCAGAAAGGGGTGGCGCAAGAACGCAAAAATCAATTTCTCTCTTAGTCTTTGCACTGCCAGGGCTCCTTCCAGAGCATGTGCCTGGGGATGGTCCTCTTTCCGGTAGCCCTCTTTCTTATCGGGTGCCCCTGATTGCATCGCATTCGGGCCCCATGCAACCTAGATCTCAGCTTTCACGGATGCCGAGTTCCAGGTACAACGAGAAAAGCTACATGTGCGTCCACAAGAACATCTTATATGCGTCTGACAAGGCTGAGGCAAGCATTGCTTTACACGTAGTTCTGCTGCTGTATGTGTTTTTTTGGAGCTCCTGTGCTTCTTGCATCACATTTGCAGGTCTTGGACTGCAATGCTCAGCCGCAGTGGATGCCGGCCTGTCCCCTTTTGCCCACTGGCCAAATTTCGACCTGAGAACTAGTACCAAGGGCATGATTGCATACGCGGCCTGTCCGATCCAGCAGGTCAGGCATGGCTTATCGAATTGCATCAGGCTGTCTTGATAGTTGGGACGTGTTTCTGAAACTTGGCCGTATGTGCAGGACAGCTTGATGCAGTTTACGCCTGCATCGTTTGGCGCAGCATCTCTGGGGGATGCCATCACTTTCAGGCACGACTTTGGGCAATATCACTTTTGTTGACGTGCTGCCTGGAAGGTCTGTGGCAGGAGCCCAGAAAGCTGAGATGTTTCAGTGCGTAGCTCCGGCATGGTTGCACGGTTGCTTTCATGGAGGCTCGTTCTATGCTGTACACGGTCACATGAGAAGCAGGTTGCTGACTATTGCTCTACTGCTGGTCATAGATTTTCGTGCGCAGTGGACTAGCAGACTAGCATCTGCTTGCTTCGCTGATCAGGTGCAGTCGGTCAGGCAGGAGACCCAAAAGGACAAGACAAAGATCAAGGCAAGACATTGATCTCGTAAAGCATCAACATCTGCAAACAGTTGGAGGTCTACAGCTACCACATGGAGTGGCGAAGCGACTACGTTGACTCTAGCCAGTTTTCAACAACGCGCGCCCAGCATGCCTTGTCACATGTGGCCACAAGCGCTATATACATGTTCAGGCCACAGGCCATGCAAGCCAAGCATCATGGCTGCCCACAATTTTTCAGCGCTGGCCCTAGGGAGCTCTGTTGACTGTCTTCTTGACATATGTGTCCGTCCGCACATGATCGTTTTACAGATCTTTTTGATGTGCTGCCAAATGCTATTCTAAGACAATCCGCCGTGGCCACAAGATGTTCCTCAACATCTGCAGATGTCGATGGCAGAAATCTCAGAGGGTGGTTTCTCATTGCTTGGGTCTTGGGCTCACCTCGTTACTGCTTGCGCAGGGAACCAGGCTTAAGGAGGTTGCTGCTGGCTTGCCTCTGGTGGGGCTTCAACAACGTAATTCGGCATCTGTTTGAATAAGACAAGCAACAGTTGCAAGGGGAGGGCCTGGCAAGAGCACCCCACAGCAACATGATGGACGACCGCTTAACTTCCTTCCTTTCCTTCATGCGTCTCCTGTTATCAGATCTTGGAGCTTTGCTCCGACATCCGGAACAACATAGGGAAATGAGGTAAGGCTTAAGGCAACTGACCAAGACGGGCCTAGGGCTGCTATGCACATATCTCCGCTATCCGTAAGCCTTGCTATCTGCAGCGGGAAGACTGGTCAGACCATGACGAAATGCTGGACTCATGTTTGGTGTTTGTCAGTCTGTAGCTACTGAGTCAGACGCTCTTCGCAAACGGAGCTTTGTGTGGGCTCACCATTGCCCTTACCATCACTAGTTCTAAAAGCTTTCTATGACATGGGTCAGGGCCTGTGCCTTTCAAAAGCGCTTCGGTCCACTTGGCCAGTCATTCGATGCCTAAAAGCCTTCTCTGTTTCGCAATGCTTTGGCTGTACTTGCCACATGCAGCTGCAATGGACTGCAGATGCTGACGTGCAATAAGAACAGTCAACCAGCTCGCATCCCTGAAGACATTGTTGTTTTTCTGCAGAGCTGTGATGGGGAGTATCCTAAACAGAAGGTAGGATGTGAGCGCAAGTGCTCTCGCAGTTTCGCTTTGCTTTTTTGATGCTCTTGCATGCTCTTGCCTACGTCCCTAGCGCCATGGCCCTGCTGAAAAAGTGTCAGATCATAGTTGTCAATTGTTGTTTGCTCAAAAGCGATGGAATGCTTTCAGTTTCCAGTTTTTTCATGCATTTCAACCTTCTCGCTTTGGAACGTGGAGGTAGGGCTCATCCCACTGGATTGCATCTCAGAAGAGCCACGTCCAATTGGTTTTACATCATCTACAAGGAGCTACACGTCTTGAGCATGATTATCAGTATACTTGACAGCAGGCAGCCTCTGTGTCCCTGTACCGTTAAAGAAGGATCCTCCTTTGCAATCATTGACTCGCTTCATTCCACCCATGCGAGACTTCAAGTTCTATTCTACGTCTGTCTACATCGCTGTAGGGGAAGAATTGCGTACATAGTTTCTGTACTGACTCTGTGCCGCTCTTTTCGTCATCACAGTTGAAGCAGCCACTTGAATCACGTGTGGTGCGGAGCTTGTTGTACTGTACTGCCGTTCATCTTTTTTTTTGTGCTGTCATGTATCTCACTGATGCTGCCGATCCTTCTTGCCCACATAATGCCACCCCTTCCTAGCTTCCGCTCGGCTGAAATTCCTGATGCACAAGCCTTATCCGATGTATCTGAGCCGGTTCCTCGTTGCATTTCTGGGTCACCGGCCGAGCCTTGAGCATTGTCTGTGATGTCTCTGCCGGAGGCTGCAGCTTGAAGTTATATGGGGGGTGCCGGCTGCCCTTAACAACAATGATTCAACTTCCCTGTACTGTTGGCGGTGGACACATGGCCGACAGACCTGCTTCTACACCTGCTTTTACGCAATCTCACATGTTGCGTGTTCGCATGGCACAGCTTCAGCGTGGTGTCTTTGCGATTGTGTGCATGCTTCCTTTTGTCGACGTTTATCACTGGTGCCTACAAGGGTGGTCACGAGGATAAATAAATATATATATATATACATACATATTATATATATATATCATACTGCCTACAGAAGTATCTAAAAAAACCCAAAACAAGGCAGTTGCCCAATTGCATCTAAACATGGGAGAAGGAGGGCCAGACTTTCCGCGTTTGCTGCACCATTGCCATCAGTTGGACCTCACATGCTGGTGGAGAAGTTGGCACCGTGGTGAAATAAGTCTGGTTTTGTCGCATCCGGAAGGCCCATTCGATCCAAGTTGGACCTCTGACGGTTGGCAAGGACATTCTCCAAGGCTGGATGCAGGCTGCTTGTGGCTTCAAGACAAGAACGGAACGATTTTTGACGGCAGGGGGTGCAGGTGGCTCTGGTGGGAGTGATGCTCAGTCTGCTGAAGCACGTCTGACAAGCATGGATGCGATTGAATCAACACTCTCCTGGCAGGCTGCACGCAGACACAAGCACCCCGATTTCACTGCACAGCTTCGCGAACAAGTTTACATCTACACATGCTTTGGGAGGCGCGCAGCTCTTTTTTAAAAAGTTCTGGGTATAATAACATGC